TCACATATTAATCAGTTGCTTAAGCTCCTGAATCAAGCCATCCCTAAAGTCCAATCTACTCCTGGGGTTTTCTCTTACTTGAGCCACTATGCTCTCTTTTTGCTTAACATACCGTGGGCTAGATTTTCTGTCATTCGCACCCAAGTGTCATAAGTGATAGAGAAAATATGCCAAATTCATATGTGTTTTCTGAAAACACAGGAATCACCTCTAGATAATTTAAGAGAAAGAAAGAAAGAAAGGAAGGAAGGAAGGAAGGAAGGAAGGAAGGAAGGAAGGAAGGAAGGAAGGAAGGAAGGAAGAAAAAGAAAGAAAGAAAGAAAGAAAGAAAGAAAGAAAAAGAAAGNAAAGAAAGAAAGAAAGAAAGAAAGAAAGAAAGAAAAAGAAAGGAAGAAAGAAAGAAAGAAAGGGAAATTTGCGGGGAGGGATGTGAAGTGGCTCACAGAACCAAAGGAAAGCAGAAGTGGTCTTGGAAAGGACATGTACCAGAGTGGTCCCTGGGGAGTCAGATAGCAGAAGTGAATGGACAGTGTCATCAGAGCACTGCCCAAGAATAAACCAGTGATAACTATCCTCAAGCCACTTTATTCAAGATTCAGATTGACTTGGAAAAGAAAGAGAGAGAATGAGAAAAAGAGAGAGGGCTTACTTAGCCTTGCTTAAGTCTCATGCCCAACCCTTGTCCATGGGAAGAAGGCAAGACAACTGGATTGATACCCCACCTAGCTGTACACAATTGGGCTGGATAATTCCCCAAAGCAAAATCTTTTCTAAGCACTTTGCATATTTATTAAATCATGTTAACCCTCAGAGTAGCCCTTTGAAATAGGTGCTGTTATTATTATCCATATTTTACGGATGAGGAAATTGAGACACAGAGAGCGAAAGCAACGTGCCTGTGGTCACACAGCTGTAAGTGATGAGCTGGGATGCAAACCCAGGTAGCCTAGCTCCAGAGTTTGTGCATTTCACCCTCCACACTACAGGGCTTCACCAACAGGAAGGGAGTGAAGGCAGGACAGACAAAAACACAAGGTCCCCTGCAGGTAATGCTCAAGAAAGGGATTATGGGGAGCTTCCACTCTCTCTCTATCATTTTTTTAGCCACCATGTATTAACCATACCAAAAAAAAAAGAAAAAAGATAATAGATTTCTATTTTGGAAAATTAAAAAAAAAAATCCTGCTTAGCCAATAGGAGAAAGGGAAGGAGCCCAAAGCCGGTGATCTCACTCTTTCCCAGCCACAAAGAAGACTGTGAAATATCTAGGACCCAGGGGAATTACAGCTGTCACCAGGCTGCACTAGCCAAGGCTGAGGAAACCCAGGGAGTCAGGAAGGCATTATCCATCATAAAGGCACTGTTCAGGACCAAGAGGGGAAGAATGCTAGCACTCTAGTGAAGCAAATTGAAGTGGCCACTGCCTACAGACCTCTGCCCTCCCTGAAATCCTCGATTTCCTCGGTGCCCCTTTTTAGGGCCTCCTGCACAACCACAGTTTTCTTCTTCCATGCAGCCTACTCTGCCCTCATTCCGCAGGGCCCGCTCCTTCAACAGCGTGGAACAGGTGTTGCCAAGGCTCCAAGCCTGAGAACAACAAGGCCACAACAAAGCTCCAGAGCTTAACCCGCATCCCTCTGGCTCAGCCTTTAGCTACAGAACAGTGGAAAATCCAGCTCTGTTCTGGACCCTGCCCCGTCCCAGGAACACAGGTCAGTCAGTGGTTAAGAGTGTGGGCTTTGGAGTCAGACCTAGGTTGGCATCCCAACTTTGTTGCTAATGGGCTGTGTTACAACTGGCAAGTTGTCTAACCTCTCTGAGTCTCCATCCACTGCCGTGAAATAAAGTAATGATACCAGGGCTGAAACTCAGTTCCTATGCACTGGTACAGCTGAGCTGGCTGTGAAAACACTAAAATATTTCTAAATTGACTGGTAAATAGGTAGCAGTAGCCCATGGCCCACCTCCCCAGCTTTTCTCCTGCCTGCTCCCCTTGATCCAATAACTAAAGTGTTAACTCTTGGCAGAACAGAGACCCATTAAGTCCTTGCCCTAGCACTGAGGCCAGCATCCATTCTGATTGGTATTGCTCGTGCTGAACAGGGTTGTTAGATATTTTTGTTTGTTTGTTTTTTGTTTTGTTTTTAGCTGAGCCATCCTGCCACCTGTTGGCAGCTCAGAGGCAGCTCATCTCGGGCTGGGAATCGAACCGCTGTTGCTCAGAGCTCACACTCTTGAGCGAGCTCTTAACCAACTGAGCCACTCGGGCGGCCCAGGGTTGTTAGATATTTTTAATATCTGGCAATGGTCATCTCTGGGATTAAGTGAGCTAACGCAGATAAAGGACTTGGCAGGGAGTCTGGTACACAGTGAAGCAACTCAATCAATGTCAGCTGTTATTGTTGTAAACATCAAACTTAAAGAGCAGAGGCAGGATCAAGATCAGGGTTTCACGTATTTATTATGAGCAGGTGAAGATGGGTTATAACTGGCAGTTCAGGTAGAGTCACAGGCCCCCAGATGATTCATGGGTGAGGCTGCATGGGTGGTCCTGCCTGGTTTAAAGAGTCAGAGCAGGACCAGTATATTCCTGCTTCATAAACCGCCCCTTGCTTTCCTCTCCTGCTTACCTGGGATTCCTGGATCCCATGCTAGATTCAAGGGCTGAGAGTGGGGATGTCAGGAGAAGCCACACACTGGTGCCCTAGCAGTTCGGGAGGGCTTTTCCCTAAGTTCACTACCAGCTCTACTGCTACTGTTGGAATCCCATGTCTTGTTTGCCTGAAACAGAGGAGCTGTTCCCAGAAGGCTGGGCTTTGCCTTTCTAATGCTTTGGGATATCAGGAAGAATAGTCCAATCCAAGGTCTCCCCTAAAGGACTTAAAATATCCTAAGGAGGGGCAGTATTGTGTGGTGCCTAGGAGTGTAGACTTTGGAGCCAGGCAGCTTGGATTCAAATCCCAGCTCTGCATCTTTACTAGCTATGTGAACTTGGGCTAGTGGCTTAACTGCTCTGAGTCTCAGTGGGAGTAATAATAGTACCTGCCTCATAGAGTTCTTATGAGGAATAAATTAGGAAAGATGTATAAAGTACATTCTCTCTATATGTTGGTTATTATTAAGGAGCTCACAAGTGTAGCAGGGCAGTCAGATTCATGCCCACATAATCCTGTCCAGGGTGACAGTCTTTCTTCACCCTGCTAGTTGAAATTCTTCCCCTGTTCTCCTGGGCCTCTTGTACCAGCTCCCACATTTTACAGACTGGGAGGCCCAGAGAAGGTCTTGCCTGTGATCTTATGTGGTGTCATTGGCAAAGATGGAACCCATTTTAGAGTTTCAGATGCCACTTCCAGCATCTCCTGCTGCCTCTGCCACTTCCTCATGCCTTTGGTTGTGGTTCTCTGTGAGCAGGAATGAGTTCTTGCCCATCTCTGGGTCTCCAGAGCCCAGAGCAGAGAAGGTGCTCAGGAAGTGACAGGGGCAGGGCTTTCAAACACATGTCCTTCGTGAGTAGCCAACCAAAGGAGCCAGGGATATACCTGCTAACTGAGCTTCAGGTAGTGCTCTTATGCTGCTAGGGCCCCAGAGAGAAGACATAGCCTGCAGCCAGGGAAATGGGACAGCAAAACATGTTTAAGGGGAAATGGGATGGTTCTTTAAAAACAGAGACGGGGAGGGAGAGAAGGAGGTGGGGGGGGGAGAAAGAGAGAGAGATCTCCACTGATTCTGATTCCTCTCCAGCGAGCCTTGCTGGGCCTTTCTAGGATCACCCAGAGAAGCCTCGCCTTCGCTCTTGGCAGGTGGGTCCTCAGCGCCTGCCCCCCCCCCCGTTGCCCAGCGCATCTCAACTTTTGCTCCCACAGCAGAAGTCCCACATTTTCCCCCTCGCTGCTCTTCAGCAACCCCGCACCCATTTGACCAATCCCCAGACACTCCGCCCCACTTTTGAGAGCTATCTAGAGGTCCCTCCAGCGCACATGGCCCAGCCTGAGGCTGTCTGCTCCCCTTTCGTCCCCAGTTTGGAATAAAAGTGTACCTTCCCACAGCCTTGGGTCGGGAACTCTCAGCTGTTGGTGCAGTTGGGGAGGCCAAGCCGGGCTTTGGGGAGACCCAAAGGGACGGGGAGGAGGTGTTCCCGGGGGCCTGAAACCTTCCAGACCCGCTCAGTGTAAACCGCCTCGGGTTTGTGTCAACATCCGAAGCCGGAGACTGGCGGCGGCTAGGGACCGGCTCCGTCTACAGAACGGGAAGACGGGAGGGTGGGAATGGAGGGGTCCATGGGGTAGGCAGAGGGGTCCTTCTGGGGGAGATCTCGAGGTGCCTTATGAGTGTCCATGAGAAATAAGGAAGGCTGGGGAAGGCTTGGAATTGGGGGCTGTAGGGAGCCCACGACGAGTGTGGAACCAGATAGGGGCTGGGCACTTCGCCATCCGTACTGCGTTCTCCGCGCCCACCCACCCTCTTTTCCCATCCTCCGCGTGAGGGGGGTGGGTGTGTTGGGGATGTGTGATGCGAAGGTGTGGGCTGCTGACCACCCCATCTCTTTCCTCCCCCACTCGGCTCCATCGGCAGCTCCTTGTCGCTTTCTTCCAATTTTGGGTGGGATATGGAGGGGGGGTCACATCTTGTGACTCATCCCCTCTTCCATCCCCACCCCCGCTGGGGCCCTAGAAGGGAAGGCTTAGAGTCTCGGCTGTGGCTCTCCCGTTTCCATAGCAACCGTGCGGTTGTTTTTGCGAATCCACTTCAGTCGTTTACACTTTTCACCCCAGACTGTGGCCTGGGGTCTGAGCCTCAGGGCGGGGTACAGATGGGGGTACAGCTCCCCCCCTTCCACGCGACTCCGGGAATGTCAGCGCAGCCAGGCGGGGCGCGCTCCTGCAGCCGGGTCTCACTGGCCACCGGGTCCCCACCTGAGACCCCGCCTGCCACTCCGCCCCAGCGGAACCAATCAACGCCCAATCTGCCCGGGGTGGGGCGGGGCTTATGCAAATCGTGTCGCCTCCGAGCGACATAGTGATACAAGAGCTGGGAGGCGGCTCCGGCACGGACCTGGGAGAACCTGGCCGCCAGCCCGCGAGCCAATCTCTGTCCCTGCGGTCCGCCGAGGCTCGGAGCCATCCAGCAACCCGGCGAGCGGCCTCAGGTAACGCGGGTGGGGCCGGGAGGAGGCCGTTGTCCCCTTCCTCTCCACTCTCTATTCCTATGCTCGTCTCCTGCCTCTCTGATTCATCTTCCAGACCCCTGGTTCTGCTATAGGTGGCCGCATCTAGAGGGCCCGCCTCTGACCAGGGGGACCCCTCACCCAAATCCAGGCCCCATGGGTGCCATGAAAGGAGGTAGAGTTGCCTCCTTACCCCCAGCTCAGGTAAGAACAGTCACTGCTCTGGCCCCCAACACACGCGCGCGCGCGCGCACACACACACACACACACACACACACCTGGAAGTGTGATGCTAGAGGAGGCGTTAGTCACCCTCCCTCTTTTGGAGATAGGGAGTCCACCTAGCCCCATGGCAACCTCCCACCTCCATAGATGGTCGCCACCCACATCACCCACCCCCACCAGCAGCTCAACACACTTCACATAACAAGGTCCCTGCTCCCAAAGACAGCCTCCATCTCCACAGAAAGCCCACTCCCACTTCACGTTGTCCTCTCCTCCCACCCCGCAAGCTGACGGAGCTCCCAGCATACCTGAGGGAGGGAAGAAGCTCCCCACCTCCCTCCCGCGCTTCTCCCCAGGACACGCTCTCAACAGCGCCCCCTCCCCATGGTCTTGGTGCTGGGCAGAGGCCCCGTGCTTGGCCTCTTTCATCCTGGCCGGAGGATAAAACAGGAACTCCATCCCCAGCAGACCACCCATACCTGTCAGTTACTGCTGCCAAGGTCCCAGCCTCTTGCATTGCCCTCACCCCCCACAGCCGAAGCACCAAGGCCTCCCGTTCTACCTCTCAAATATCTTTCTAAGTCATACCCGCTCTGGCCTTCTTGTGCCCAGTTTCTCCCTCTCTCCTATCTTCCTGCTGCTCTGCAGGGACTGTGCCAGAGCTCCATGTGAACTGTCACCCCTTTCCCTAAGGTGGCCTGAACCTGGAGAGCAGAAGAGCTGGGTTCACATCTTGCTTTTGCCTCAGTGCTGTCTGACTTTGGCCGACACTTTGGCCGACAGTCACTTCTGTCTCTGATTCTTCATGAAATAGGGAAGGGGTCAGAACAGAGGGTAGACCGGATGTGGTGATCTTGAACAGACTTCCAACGCTGACACACTCTGGTTCTATGGATGATTTTAAGAAAACAGGACCCTTTCTCTCTTTCCCTGAACCGTGAGGATATTTCAGAGAGGAGGCCTGGGAGGCTTTAGTCCTCAGCGAAGGGACATTGCTTCTTGTCGAGGCCTAGATCCAGACCATCTCCTCCCACACGCTCTCCAGGCCTGGGTCCCTTCACAGCTATTAAGTGTCCCTCCTAGACCAGCAGCCCACATGGCATGGGTAGCACCAAGGTGAAGGTGGTCAACAGGGCCCACCCTTTGTTTATCATCCCTTGCCTCTCATTAAGAAGAGGGAGAAGACAGTGGCTGCTGCCGCTGTGGCTGCTGCTTGGAGAAGAGCAAAGGGAGGAGAGGAAAGACAGAAAAATCTCCTGGCCAGGGAGCTATTGTCACCATGGCAACCGTCTCAGCACCAGCTCCTCTGAAGCTGGGTGAGGGTGTGGGATTATTGCATCTCTCAGTCCCTCCCACCCTCACTGCCACCTCCCCATTTGAAGCCCACAACCCTGAGCTCTGCCCTCTGGGTAAAGAGGGGCAGCGGCTTTGTGTATGGGGCAGCGCCAGCTCCTTCACAGCAGGAGGGCAGCCCTCAAGAGGTGAGCAGAGGAGCCTGCGCATGGTCAGCAGGGCTACAGGACCAGCAGAACATGCCCTCAGTGCATTCTGGCCTTCGCCTTGCTGCTGATGGGCTCTGCTTGACCTTGGGTGAACCCTTCCTTTCCCCAGGTCTGGCTTCTGTTGTTTCTTAAGTGGATGAAATGGCAGGAGAATACAGATAAAACAGCCTGAGGCCATTCCACAGAGGAAGAAGGGGGTTCTGTCCCTCACATGTAATCCACCAAGGAACATTCAGTGAACATTGCTGGGTTCCAGGCACGGCCGTTAGGTCTCTGCAGGGTGGTTCTGTGCAGCCACAGAGGGCAGAGTGGGAACTCCAGGTGGGGCAGCTACAAGAGGGCAAAGTTAGGAAAAATGAGAAAAATACTTTTCTCCTATCTGAGCTGCCCCAAAGAGGACTGGGTCATATTGGGAGGTGACAAGCTCTTTGCCATTGGGCAAAAAGGCCTGGAGAACTTTTCTGGGGGGTCAGGCAAGGGTTTAATGCAAAGGCCTCTTCCAAATCAGTCTCCATCCTAGAATTCTAGAGCACCAGGTGAGGATCAGAGAGCTTTGAAGTCTACAGACTTGTGGGGCTCAACTCCATGGTCTCACAGGGTCTACTCATGCTCAAAATACTGTGCCCATGCTGCTGACTGTCCACTGTCCTGGCTGAGAGCGGCTGATCATTAGGAAGTGGGCTTCAGCCAGGCCTGCGGGCTGATTATAGCTGCATCCGCCCAGGAGGGAAGAAAGGACATTAGGGGAGAGGAAAACAGCTAAACAATAGGTGAGGTAGGTTCTGACTGTGAGAAACTTGGCTTGAAAGGAGTATATAGTTGTGAAGGGAGCAGTGGGAGGTAAGGCTAGACAGTCAGGCACCTCGACATGAGATTCTAGAGGATTCTGGAGTTTGAGGGGGTCTGTGGGCATGGCAACCTCTAACCTATATTGTACTTCTGGGCAAAAGCAGAAAAGACATTCCCTCGAAACAGAGGAATCAGAAGAAAGGTACTCCCTCTGAGGCAGTTGAGCCCACGGGCATGGCTGGACAAGCAGTTCCTCAGCTGGATTTCAGCGCCCTCAGCTGTGCCCCTGGCCCTGACTATGGGAAGAGAGAAGACATAGTGAAGGTTTCAGGAGCTCTTTAAAAAAAGGAACAATAGGACTTGGTGGCAAGTTGGACCTAGGGAAAAGGGAGAGGGAAAAAACTATAGGTAACTAAGATGGCATTTCCCCCCTGGGATGAGGGAGGGAAGGAAGGGGCCATGGGGAGAGAAGGACAGCCACCAGTTGAGGATGAGTCTGGTTGTAGATATGCTGAGTTAGAAGTACTGATGGGCTACCCCAAGGGGTGGATGTTTCCTGGGTGTCAGACACCATGACCTGGAGCTCAGCAAGAAGGTCCCGCTGAGGCCAAGAGGGAGATCAGAGCTATGGTTTTCCCGAAAGGCAGGAGTGGGGAAGGCCTGTACTGGACAAGAGTAGCCAGTATTTGCAGAGGATGGACCAGGAAGTGGCATGGATTCAGCCTGGGTGCTCATCTGGACCCTGCTGTATAACTCTGAGCCAATTTTCTCCTCTCTCTGGGTTTTCACTAAAATAAGGGGATGATTTTAAAGGGCATCGCTAGCTTTGACCTGCTGATCTAAGAGCAGTAGAGGGAATGAGGAGAAATGAAGGAGGAGACAGCCCTCAGTGGACCTGGGACCAAATAGCAGCAGAGAACAGGTATGGCCCCAGGAGAGAGAATTGTGGGAAGGCAGCACACAGCAGGGAGGAGAAAAGGGGCAGAAGGTGAGAGCCACATGGATGCTATGGCACACACAAAGACTGTGTGCTCCGACAGATTTGCAGCCTCATACGTTGACAGGCTCCCACCCACACTCCGCCCCTCACACAGACACTCAGGCATAGCCGACAGGAGACAGCGGAAGAAGCTCTGCCTCTCCCATCAGACACCTCCACCTCTGGGTTCTCTAGCTTCCTTGACTATACTGTGAGCCTTCAGTGTGCTTTGGAGTTGGGGAGGGGACAGCTGCACTTGGAGCCTGCCTCTTTCTTCTCGTGGTGTTCGAGGCATGCTTGACTCTGGCTCCAGTACAAATGTTTTGGACCCCACAGTTCTGGGCTCCTGAAGATGGCATGCCTTCCCCTCCCTGGCTTTTTCTGGGGGCGTATAGGGTTCCAAATACATCCTCTGAGAGTGGCAGATGTGGGGAGATGTTGTCATCAAGTTTCTTGATCTTCCTCATGGCCCAGTGGCAGAATCTGAGGCCCAGAAATATCCTGTAACTAACTTGAGGTCATGAAGTAAGGGAGGGGGCATGGAACAGACCTATCTCTGGTTGTTTAGGGCACTCCCAGCAGTAAAGATTAGAAGCCACACTGGCCTGGGAAGGGCTGTGGAAGTGGAATTCCTTCTGCTGGCCTGAGGACTTCCTTTCCCAGAGTATCTTCATGACAGACTACCCTGGGGTTGGAGTCTGGTGCCCTTCCAAAGACTCCAGTCATGTCAAAGTCACCACCTAGGCCACGTCCTGGGAAACTCAAGCTCTGGAGGGACATTGCTCCCATGGTGTACAGACAGGAGTATCCACGCAGCTTTCAGGGCCTGCTGGGACCTCGCTCTGGCCAGGCTTCCTGGGGAGAGACTGTCCCCACTTCTGCAAACACTTTCTCTGACACAGGCTGCCTGAAGGGCTCATGTTCCAGCTGGGGACTGACTCTTCATTTGCCCCAAACTTGCTTCTCAGCAACACCACCTCCATCCACTCAGCCCCAAATCTGAGCATCTGCCTCAACTCCTCTGTCTCTTTCACCCCACATCCAATCAATCGCCAAGTTCTACCAGTGCTCCCTCCTCACAGGCCTCAGTCCATCCCCATCTCTCTACAACCCCTATGCTGGTATCATCATCTCTCACTGAACTAGGCAGCAGGCCCCTCTCTGCTTTCCCTACCTCCTCCTACCTAAGTCATCTTGCACGCTGTATCCAAAGGAAAAATTCTAAAACATATTCCTTCTCTCTGGGTCTCCAGCACCTAATTCAGGGCCTACTATATTGTAAGCACTCTGTGTTTGTGGAATGAATGCTACCTTCCTAGCCCTTGCTTTCAAAAGGAGCTTCTGTCCCCTCCTGTAAAGGCCAAACTCCTTGGCATGGATGTAAAGCCCTTTACAACCAGCCATCTACTTCTCTGATCCAATTATGAGTTACTGAAGGTTGACTCCTGTCTACTTTATCCCCATCACTAGCACAAGGCCTAGCACACAGTCAGCCTCAATAAATGCTCATGGGATGAATGAACTAATGAAAAGAAGAATGTAATCAGGGCCATCAGTGCTACCAGCTAGGATTTATATTAATTAGTACAGAGGAAGGAGGGAGAGAAACTTCCTGGTGGGGTGGCCTGTAAGGCCTTGAGGAAGAACTTGGGAGATGGTGCCAGGGGCACACATGAGGGTCCCTGGTAGGGGAGAAGCCTGCAGAGGCAGGTGGGGGCTGAGTGTGAAAGCTCTGAGGATCAAGGAGAGAGTTAAGACTCTATTCTATGGGTGTGGCGAGCTCTGGAAGGTGTAAACAGCATAGGATGAAGGTTGCAGCAGGCAGCACCCGTCAGTGACAAGGAGAGCTGAGACCCAGAAGGCTGGAGATCCTGGGTACCAGGAGAGAAAACCTGTCTGAGGAGAGGGGAGGGGCCTGCTGTGGAGACCCTTTTATGGGGGAGGGGAATGAGAGGCAGGGACCCCCGCCCTGTGCTGGTGGGGGGAGAGGGGCAGGGAGAGGAGGCAGGAGCTCCTACGGGAAGGGACGTGGTGAAGGATAGAGCCCAGCTGTAGGAAGAGGGGCTTGTTGAGGGTGGTGGTGAGAGGAGGGGGACCCACCCTGCGGCGGAAGTAGGGATCCTGGCTGTGGGAATGTGGGGTTTGTTATGGGAGGGAGCTGTTGTGGAGAAAGGGAACCCTGTCCTACGGGGACTTGGAGAAAGGCTGCTGAGGTGAAGGCCTTGCCCTGGACCCATTTGAAGGAGCCCTTTGTCCCCCAGGCCCCGCCATGGGGAAGACCAACAGCAAGCTGGCCCCAGAGGTGCTGGAGGACCTGGTTCAGAACACCGAGTTCAGCGAGCAGGAGCTGAAGCAGTGGTACAAGGGCTTCCTGAAGGACTGCCCCAGTGGCATCCTTAACCTGGAGGAGTTCCAGCAGCTATACATCAAGGTGGAGAGGCCCGGGCGCGCGGGCGGGCGGGCGGGGGCGGGGCCAGGCACCCCAGGGGGCAGGCCGGGAGGGCAAGGCTGTCGCTGCACCCCAATCACCCGCGTCCCCGCCTCAGTTCTTTCCCTACGGCGACGCCTCCAAGTTTGCGCAGCACGCTTTCCGCACCTTCGACAAAAACGGCGACGGCACCATCGATTTCCGGGAGTTCATCTGCGCTCTTTCGGTCACCTCCCGCGGCAGCTTCGAACAGAAACTCAACTGGGCCTTTGAGATGTACGACCTGGACGGCGACGGGCGCATCACGCGCCTGGAGATGCTGGAGATCATTGAGGTGCGCTGCGACGGATCCGAGGCGCCCGGGGGTGCTAGGGTGACGCGCCCCTTACCTTCCCCGCCGTGCCCTTCTCTGGCACCGCCCTCTCCAGCCACCCTCCTCTCGGGCCTCAGGAGCCCTCTCCCTGCAAACCCACTTCTACGCCCATCCCACCTCCCAGGATCCGTTGGGCTCAGCGTAGGACAACCCCTATGCTAAGTACTTTACCCAACAACCCTAGGGGGTGGATACTAAAACCCCATTTTACAGATGAGGACACGCGGCAAGTAGTGGCTTATGATTCAAATCCAGGGAGTCTGACTCTAGAGCCTAAGTTCCTTTATTATTCTTTCAACAAATATGTATTGAGTGCCTGCCACATGCCAGGCACTGTTCAAAGTTCCTACTTTCAGGGAACATTCCTTCTAGACAGACAATTTAGAAACAACCACCAAAAAAACTGTGTTATGTCAGCAGTAAATGCTATGCAGAAGATAAGCAGAGCAAAGTACGGGGAAAGAGAGCAGTGGAGGAAACGTAATTTTATATGCTGTGAAACGTGAGCAGCAACCTGAATAAAGTGAGGGAGCTAACCATGCAGATGTCTGGGGAAGAGTGTTCTATGCATAGGCAACAATAAATGCAAAGACCCTGAGGTTAGATTGTGTTTGCAGTGTTCAAGGAGTGGTGGGGGTTAGGGGGTGGGGGGTGGGGGAAGGGTGGTAGAAAACAGTGAGCAAGGTGAGAGTGGTAGGAAGATCAGAGAGGAAGCCAGGAGCCCAATCACTTAGCGTCTCATGGTCTGGGGTAGAGACTTGACTTTATTCTGAGTGAGATGGGAAGCCACTAAGGGCTCTCTTCTCTGTGTTGAGAATAGGCCAAAGGGGTGGGAGAGCAGCAGAAGCAAGGAAACCAGTTCTGAGACTTCCACAGCAGGTCAGTCAGGAGCTGATGGAGGTGACAGCCATGGAAGAGCAGTCAATGGAAGTGGTTGGGCATGGGATTTGTTGCACACTTAGGACTGACAAAATTTGCTAAAGGATTGAATGTGGGCATGAGAGAAGGAGAGTCAAGAATGGAAGCAAAGTTTTTGGCCTGAACAACTAGAAGAATGAATTTGCTATTTACTGAGACAGTAAATAGACAGTAAATGCTGGGGGAGCAGCAGGCTGGAAGCGATGAGTTGGGTTTTAGACACGTTAGTGTGAGATGCTCATTAAATACCCAGCCTTAATGACCAGACATTGCCTTCCAGTATCCTCCCCATCTCCCAGTGTTCTCCCTGCCCGCCCCCAGACCCCCGTCACTCGCCCCCCAGCCTCCCTGCCCCTTGTGAGTGTTCACTCCTCCCTCATTGCCTTCCCAGGCTATCTACAAGATGGTGGGCACTGTAATCATGATGCGCATGAACCAGGACGGGCTCACACCCCAGCAGCGTGTGGACAAGATCTTCAAGAAGATGGACCAGGATAAGGATGACCAGATTACTCTGGAAGAGTTCAAGGAGGCGGCCAAGAGTGACCCATCCATTGTGCTGCTGCTGCAGTGTGACATGCAGAAGTAGAGAGCAGAGGCTAGTGAGGGGCAGGGCCCCTGGCCAGGAGGAGTGTGGCCACCTCCCAACCCCATGACCTCTCTGGCTGGCCCTTCCCCAGGGGATGGGGCACTCCAGCCTCACTCTCTGGCCCACCCAACCCTCTGCCCAAGCCTTTGTTCCCTTCAGTCAAGACCCTTGAGGGACCATTTCACTCTGGAAAAGAGACAGATCCTCAGGTATCCTGTGGTCTAGTGCCACCCCCAGTCTTGGCCCACAACCAACATCTACTGGGCATGGGGAGGTAGCTTTTGCCTTGAGAGGCAGGGTTAAGGAGGAGGGCTGGGGTTCTCCTCTGAAATTCTGTTCTTCCTGGCATTATGCTTTACAGGATGTGGTCCCACAGACCCCAGTTAAAGGGCCAAATTGGGTCTGTCCTTTGCTGAGGACCCAGATCCCTTAAAGATAGTCTCTGTCCGCCCCCTCGACTCTACCTGGCCCTTCTGGCCCCAGCCTTTAGAAAGTGCATTCAGCCCTTTCTTCAGCTAACATTTATGGAGCACCTGTTCAGTGTGAGGCACCTCTAGGTGCTAAGGATATGGTATAGTCTGCCAGACACGTTCTGTGCCCTCTGGAAGCTCATAGAGTAGTGAGGCTGACTTCCAGTGGTCCAGGGTCTCAAACGGGGACACTGAACACAGCTGAGCAGAGGGTGCGGTAAGGTTGGTCAGTTCGAGAGAAACTTTCCGCTGAGTTCCACACAGAACTGCAGAGGGATGGAATGAAAAGTAGAAGTCTAGGAACCATGTGAGTGGAAGTTTTAAGAAAAATTGAAATTTATTGTAATACTTATTTTTTTAGTACCCTTTAAAAGAGCTAAAGTCATTTTGTTAGTGTAGGGTATGAAAACATACTTTATATTACTTAGTTTTTTGTAAAATGATCAAATGAATATAGACAATGCGAATTTTCATGAGAAGAAAGAGGGAAAATACCACCAAATTTACCAGGTTAACGCTTTTTCTTATCAGGCAAAGTCCTGAGCTGTCACTATCAGCAATTTCTGCTGCTTCCTTTATAATGATCTTTTTCAATTCAGTGAGCAGCTCTGTTGTATACTTACTCTGGTTAGGTGCTGACTTCAGAAACAGAAAAAACAAGGTTGGCCAAGAGTGAGACCGTCTACGTTCCACATCTTGGTAGTTCCTTTCTGGATTTGGTCTAATTTCAAGGATGGGCTTGTTCTTTCATTGCTACAGAAGCAGAAGGAGCTAGAAGAAGAGGACCACCTGGCCACTGTTTAGGCTGCCAGGCTGCATTTATGGACCAACTGCCTAAAAATGTGGTGGGCATGCTCCATTTGAAAAGCTTTTTGTAACTCCAAATCCTAAATCCGCCAGGTAATTCATCGTCTTCCAAGTACACTGGCTTTGCTTTCCAACGTCTGCTTTCTGATTTTTGGATCCATGAGCTATACAGCTGCATGCTTTGACTGCCAGAAAATTCACCTTGCTTCTTCATCAAGTTTTCCACTTTACTTTCTCTTGTACTTGTGATCAGAAATTAGCTTTGATGTGCAGTGACAGCTGATTTCCTCTTGAACCACTGGTGAAAACAGTCTCGTACACAGGTGCTGTCAGCCCAGGGTGGGACCAGGGAATGGCTGCTGAGTCAGGGGGTGTGGGATAGTATCTGTAGGAAAACAATGACGCATGCGTCTTACTTCTGAGTGTTCACCTGTCCTCCTTCTCTGTAGGTAGAAACGCTTGAGGATGCTGACCTTTGCTCCCCAACTCTGTTGGACCTTCCTTCTTGCTGCCCTTGGAGGTAGCCAGGGCACTGGGTTACTACTCTCTTTCTAGCCTGCCTACGACCAGCCACGTGGTAAGGCTGGGGAATTCATATCCTCTGGCAGTAACTAGCAGGTTTTTATCCAATAATGCCTCACAAGATATTCCATTGCTCTCAGGAGCTAGCTAGCCATTAGGTATGTCTTGTGCTGTCAGTCAGCACCACAGATACAGATACGCAACAGCCTGACTCAGCTGACACTTCCAGTGGGAAGCTTTTTACAAAGTGGTGTTTCTGGCTCCCAAACATTGAATCTAACTTAAGGCCCAATCCCACAGAACTTCATGGCTTTCAAAGGCTTGCCATCTACCCCATCTCATTCTATCCCCACAGCCCGGGGAAAAGGAGATTTTCATTCCTATTCTCCAGACTTGGAAACGGAGGCCCAGAGAGGGGGTCCCTTGTGCAAGAACACAGTCAGGAGGTGGCACAGTGCCAAGCCTTGAAGTCTCAGGCTCTAAGAGGGTTTCTTCCCTTAAGCATCTCTTCCCTTTTCATTCCTCTGACAGTTATACAGAGGTTGACTGTGGGGCAAGCTAGGTTGGCTTTGGTCTTTTACAAGCTTCCTGCTAAGAAGTTTCTGAGGCTGTGGTCTTCCAAAAAGAAATTAGGAGCTTGGTTGAAGTCCCCCTATTGTCAAGCATCTTGTTTTCTGCTTCTGGGCTGCTCTGCTAGCAGGTCAGTGCTGTCCTAGGAGGCCTCTGACTCAGAACCCTGGAAGCATCTTCCTCTGTCTCTACCATCATCTTCCTCCCTAAGAGAACTGTTGTGTTTTTCTCCCCGCCAGCTGTAGGCAAGTCCTACCTGTGAGGGCATATTTGATCACCCCAAGTTTCTGGACACATACTCCTGGGTGATATTTGCTGGTCAGGCCAAAGGTTCTCAGACAGCCCAGCAGTGTTGAACACACAGTGTGAGGCCAGGAACCAGGACCACCATCGAGCTGATAGGAAGAGCCACAGGCAGGCCAGGCCTTGCTCCCACATACTCCTGGATGTCCCAAGGACTGTGTACTTGGGAGCTCCTGTGGTAGAGCACCGGCCATGCTGTGAGAGGAGAGGCCAGCCTCCCACCTCTGCCCCCCAACTGGGAGAAACTTGTCACAGGACACAAGGTTAGCAGAGATTGAAGTATGACTCACATAGACTCAAAAATATACAGACAGTTAAAACATTGATCTCTCCAAGCTCTCCTTGAAGTTCTGTATCTTCTTGCAGCAGCTCTTGTGAATTGAAAGTTTCCAGAATCTGCCTTCTAACTGTATTCTGTCCTCATTCAAACTTTTGGACTAGTTGATGAGCTCCTTCTTTCTCGTCTCTAAAACTCATCAGCAAGGGCTACTTCAGATGGCCACTCCAGCTGTAGTTAGGATTACATAACTTAATTTAAATCACAAGTTAAGAAAAAGGAAGTGCATAAACAAAGACACGGAATCTTTTCCTGATGATGGCAGAGTCCCTAGAGGTAGAAATTCATCCTGCTGCAGAGAAAGAAGGAGAGAATAAGAGAATAAGCTGGGGTTTCTAGGCAGGGGAGTAAGTTGACACTGTAAGTATTTTTACATAAAAATTTGCAAAAGCAACAAATATTTCCTGAAGATCCACCCTGTGCTGACTTTAGAGATCACTGTGGGGGCAAAGATACATATCTTACATATTTTAGTCATGATTTTTGAAAAACATATAATTCAAATCTTGCAATTGAAAGTCTCAGAAAAATATGGGATATTCTTTCTGAAATTTTCAGGGTTTTCTTCGACCTTTGCCAGAATGTGGGGGCAGGACTGGGCTTCCCAGCGTGTCTGGCCCTTCCTGCTTGGTGAAGGCTCCAGGAGTGTGGAGGCCTGCGGAAGGAGGGGGTCTGGGTGGCAGAGGGGGACCTCCCAACTCATTCTCCAGCATGGCCCCCTCCCCTCTTCAGGTGTGCCCACAGTGACTGTCCTTATTGTTCAACCCTGTGCCATGTGGTGTGTTTTTTTTTCACTGACAGTGAATAAAAGGTGTGACAGTGTTGAGGGTTCCTACTACTCTCTCGGATAGGGCTGGCGTGAGGAGGAAGAGGAGGAGCTCAAACAGTGGGGGAGTGGGGGTGCCTCAGCAACTCTTTGGGACTGAGCTCCTTGTTCTAGCACGGACTCTGGTTACATGGAACAGAGACCCACTCGATGGTTCAAAAAGGGGTAAGCAGATTACAAGGGCCCTACAGCTAGACAATCAAGAATGACTGGGCCTTAAATGAACTAGAACTAACAATGGGTACTCTCTCTTTTCTCTGGGCCCCACAGGCTCTCACCCCCTTGGCAGTATTTGCACCTGTGCTCTCTTTCTTGGTTTCTCTTCAGGCTTCCTTGGTTTGCCTGCATATAGGGGCTGCATCCCCACCTCTGTATGTCACCAGCGACTGACAACTCCCCTCTGTGTCTCCTAGTTCCGGTTCTTAAGCAAGAGAATCTGATTGGTTAAGTTTAGAATTGGGGGGGAACCCCTGGTCTAACCATCTATGGCTAGACCAGATGCTGATATGGAGGGTCTGTGGGCAGAGAAGTTCCTCCCTTCCCCCCAAAACGAGCTAGTGGCAGCAGATAGTCGGGCTTAGTTTCTCCCTCTGTCCAGTGGAAGGCATCATAAAAGCCCACATGGGTAGATAGTGGGCAGTGGAGAAAGCGCCCAAGGCCAGGATTACAATGGTCCATATGGTGCCCTTTGTACAAATTAGGAAAAAGCACCCCCTCTGAGTGGGAGCATCCCCCTAAGCATGCAGCCAGGCCAGTGGATGGCACCTTTGAGCTAATTAGAAAAATATATCCCTTCTTCTGAACAAATACAGCCTTGTCATGCCATGATGCACAGCTTGACAAGTGGAGTGTGCCCAGGATTTCAGGCCCCACCTGCCCTGCTGGTCAGAGGTTGTGTAGCATGTAACCAGTTACGCCATCCATAGGAGCCCAGCCCAGAGACCTGAGACCCCCTACACTGACCCAATATGATGGGGATGGGGATGGGGTTGGGGATGGGAGTTGGTGGTGAAATGTTTCTTTCAGAATGCTCCCCAATAGCCAGAGAGGCACTGTTCCCTCTTGGGGTTTGGGGGCAGTGGCAGCTGGAGGTGCCTGCTTCCTCCTGAAACGCTCAATTGATTTTACAAGGGCTTTCTCAAGGACACTTGGAGGGGGCCAGCTTCCTTGGCAGGAAGCAATTAGGACAGAGGAAGGAGGCTGACCTGGCCTCAGGGCAACCATGAACCTAAGGAGGTGACTCAGAAGTCTGAGAACTTGGAACTGCTATTCCCAGCTGAAGCCACGTTGGGGGGATGGGAAGTCCTGTCTCCCATCTGCCTTGGAGTATATAGGTCCTGGGTTACCATTTCCTAAAACCTCCCCCCTCAGGTTCTCATCATCTCTAGCCTAGGTTAGTCCACCTCCAGGCTTGCTCTCTATGCCATCTAGCTGCTCTGAAAAATGCACAAATCTGACCATGTCAACCTTTCAGTCTCCCCTCTGCCCTCAGTATGATAAGCTCCTTAAAAGTCAAGGGGGGCCTCAAGGGGGCCGGCCAAGTGGCGTGTTGGTTAAGAGCTGGCTTGGGACGCCTGAGGGCCCCGGTTCGGATCCCACATATGAGGGCCAGTGACACTGCCCTCTACAGCTAAGATGCTGAACAACAGCTCAACCTGGAGCTGGGCTGCCATGAGTCACCAGTGATGGTGTAGGCTGCAGCCCCTGCTGCAGTGGGTTGCCATAGGCTACCGTGTGTAGCCAGCAGCCAGCGTGAGTGTCCAGCCACCGCCGTGAGCAGCCGTCCAGAAGCTGGCGACTGATCTGCCTCGCCCAGGAAGAGAGCAATGATGGTGCCAACTTGGGTCAGTGAAGCAAAGTCCTCCACAACTAGACTGAAGAACAAAAGGACAGCAACTTGTCTGTTCCCCTTCTCCCAGTTCCCCAGCGCTGTTCCCATCCTCCAATTCCCCAATAAAAATCTTAAAAAAAAAAAAAAGTCCCTCAAGGGCCTGCATGATGAACTCAGAAGCCTGCTGACCTCAGAAGCCTGTTCTTTCCCCCCACTGCCCCCTCCTGCACCCTGCATTTGAGACACTGAATTGCCCCCATTTCTCTAAGGGATCTCTTAGGCTTCTGCATCGGTACACAAGCCATTGCCCCTCCCTGGGCCACACATTCCCCTGGCTCATTGATCGCCTTTGCTGTGAAGCCCTCTCAAACCTCAAACAGTTGGCTCTTAATACGTACATAGTCCATCATAGTTATTATACAGCTTCCCATGAGATTCCGTCAGCTGAGCTGGGCACACGTGTAAGTCTCCAAGTAAAGGGGACTGGATGAGTCAAGCCTTTGGGTTCCAAGTAAACAAAACCCAATTCAAACAAGCTCAAGCAACAAGGGAGACTTATTGGCTCATGTAATTGGGAAGTTCAGGCTTTGCTGGACCCAGAGGCTCAACCTGGCACCCTCTGTCCCTCCCGGCTTCTGCTTCTCTTTCTGAGTGACCTCGTGGTCCTCTTCTGAAGGGCTTCTCCAAAGATCTTTCACCTGCCACAGAGAAAGATGGGTTCCCAGCTCACATTGTCCCAAATTAATAGCCCCAGAGAAGAAAGAACCACATTTCCCAGCATCCCTATATAAGAGTATGGAGAGTGGCCTGGCTGGAGTCATGTGCTCATCCTTGGCTCAATCTCTGTGTCCAGGGAATTAGGATTCTACAGTTGGTCAGGTCTAGGTCACATGCCTATTCCTGTGACCAGGGAGGCAGGGCCAGTACTAGAAAAAGAAGGTGGGAAAGGTTGCTAGTCAAACAAAACCAATAACCACCAACTTTTTTTTTTTGGCGGCGGGGGGGGGGGCATTTGTTGAAGCAACGTGGAGAATCTCGTGGAAATTTAGAGATGGGCAGGATAGCCAGGATCTTAACAGAAGCTTGGGAAACTATCAGGAGCAGAGGCAGCTCCCTCCTCAGGCAGCATGGTTTCACTTTCTTGGGGTCTCTGCTGCCCTCTGCACATCTTTTCCCATCTTTATCTGCTGATTGGCTCATTCTTGTCACAGAGTTTCTACCCCCTCTTAGTTTTATGTCAAACAGAACTGTAGCTTGCTAAGGCTCATCCAGGTCTCTTGGGAGCCAACTGTATTTCACAGCATCCTCCATTTCTATTCCTGCGGTAGATTATCCGTCCTGTTTCCCAATTCCAAATTCCTGAGAAAGAGGAATCTGATTGGCTCAGATCATCTTTTCAACCCAGGCCACACAGGTCAAAGGTCATTGGTCAGCATGGGGATGATTCATCTTTGCATCAGGTACTCACTCCCATCCATATAACTACTCTATATGTTCTTATTAAGTGACCTCTTTCTCTTCCACAAGGAACTTGTGAAAAACTGACACTTTCCTAGAGTTTCATTATTTATTGCTATATAACAAGCCACCCCAAAACTTAGTGCTCAAAACAACAATTTATTAGTTTTTTTTTAAAAAAAGGTTTTTTTTAAAATTGGAGAATTGGGGGAGGGGTACAGCGTTGGGGAATCGGAGAAGGGGAACAGACAAGTTGCTGCCCTTTTGTTCTTCAGTCTAGTTGTGGAGGACGTCGCTTCACTGGCCCATGCTGGTATTACCATTGCGCTCTTCCCGGGTGAGGCAGTCGATCTCCAGCCATTGGATGGCTGCTCACAGCGGCTCACAGCAGCTCATGAAAGCTCATGCCCGCTGCCGGCCAGCCCCACTGCAGCCTACGCCGTCACTTGTGACTCACAGCAGCCCAATTCCAGGTCGAGCTGTTGTTCACCATCTTAGCTGTAGGGGGCACAGCGTCACTGGCCCTCATGCGGGATCCAAACCGGGGCCCAGCTGTTCAGAGCTGGCTTCCCAAGCCAACTCTTAACAAACACACCACTCGGCCGGCCCAACAATTTATTAGTTTTCATGACTCTGTGGGTTGACTAGGCTCAGCGAGGAGGTTTTACTGCTTCATGTGTTGTTAGCTGGGGTCAATCACCCAGTAGCACCCCACTGGAGCTGAGCTGGGGCTGGAACAGCCAAGACGGTTTCACTCATATGTCTGGCAATTGGTGCTGATGGTTGTCTGGGAAACCACTGTTTTCCACTGGATCCTCCAGGGCCTCTCTGCCTCACCATGTGGCCTTTCCGCAGGACAGTCCAGACTTCTCTACATTGTAGCTGGCTCCCAAGAGAGCAAAAATGGAATCTGCAAGTCCCCTTAAGGCTTAAGCTTGGAAATCATATAGCATCACTTCTACAGCCTTCTATTAGTCAAAGCAAGACACTGGGTCAACTCAAATTCAGCTCCACCTCTGGATGGGAGAAGTGTCAAAGTCACACTGCCAAAGGGCAGGCAGGATGGGAGAAAGTTTGAGGTCGTCTATGTAAACAATCTACCACGCCCAGAGAAGGGCAAGTTTAAACATACTTCCCCAATCTGAAAACTTTTGTTGTTGTTATCTCCCGCTTCCTCACACACAAGGTTTGGTTAGTTCCTCCCAGGACATGGAGGAGTCTGGGAAGGTCCCTGCATTCTGTACCTCTTCCCATGGCGACGCTGTCCAGGCTAAGCCAGTATTTCTTCTGCTGCTCCCACCCACCTGTGCACACTTCTAGGCTCACACAGAGATGCCCCTTGCCTGCTTCCTGGACTGTGCCTTGGGATGGGTGGCATTAGTGTTTGCACTCCAGGCTCTCCAACAAGGGGGACAATGCCCTTAAATTCCAGGATGGTGGTGCAAGAGTCTTTGATTCCGAGGCTCCTTTCCTACCCTCCTTCCACCCAGCCACTTTATAGCCTGTAACGAACCACCCGAAGCTTGGCAGGTGGGACCCGGGAGTGCGCGCCCCCTGCTGGCCATCGAGGGCCCAGCAAGAACTCAGGTTCAGAGTCCCCGGGAGTCTCTCTGTTCTGGGTCCTCCTCCAGAAACAGGGGAGTCTGGTCTTGCCACGGACTTCAAGGGCCCTTCTGCCTTGGTGGTGAAGAGCTGCCGGGCTGGGCCCTCCACTGTGCGCCTGGGCAGGAGCGGGCTCCTCCTCACGGACGGAGCTGTCCATCCACTACCTCTTCCCCCACCACGGGATGGACTAGCATTTGAGGAAAAGATCCTGGCATCGGAGAGGAAAGAGGGGGTTAGCTTAGGGGCGCGGGGCGGCTAGCTTTTCATTTGTTACTTTGGGATTCACCATCTTGGTAAGAAAAAGTTGTCAGGCCTCCCCTCTGTCGGTGCCCTCGAGCGCCTGCGAAGAACACCATCCGGGCAAATGAACACCACGAATCTGCAGCAGCCCGTAGGCTCCGCTTCAGGCTCCCTCTACCTGAGAGCCGAAGAGGCCAACCCCCCCACCCCGCCCCATTCACTTCGGGCGTGGGGCGGTCTGGGAAGGAGGGCTCAGCTGTCCCCCGTTACACATTCAACAGCTACACACCCGCATCCGAGAGGGCGAGTGTGGCACCCCCGCCCCCCACCCCTCCCTCCCGCCGGCTCGCAAGCCTACGCTCCTCGCCGCTGCCCGCCCCCTTCTCACAGCCCGGACGCGCCTCCCTCCAGCAGCCCGGCCGGGAGAGCTCCGCGTCTCCGCCGCTACCCACTCTGGACCGGCTGGGTCACAGCCGAAGCATGGAGTCCGGGGAGCCCCCGGAGCCCCGCGAACCCGGGCCGGGGGCAGAGACCGCCGCGGTCCCGCGTTGGGAGGAAGCCAAGACTTTCTACGACAACCTCACGCCCAAGAAGAAACCCAAATCGGTAAACACTGGGCGTGGGTATGGGGGGAGCGCAGGGGAAAGGTCACTAGGGAAGAGGTCACAAGCCCCCTGAAGAGGCACCTGTCGCGCCCTTCCGGGAGGGGACGCAGCCCCTCAGTACCAGAATGCGCCGGGCGGTTGGCGCGGGCTCGTGTTTATTTTGGGAGCTTTGCTCGGGTGTTTTTTTCTGGGACTCGGGTTCCACGCCAGGGTCCCCCTCCCCCATGCTGCCATCAAGGCCCAGCTCGGGGCCCGCGGCTCAGCCTCTCCCGGAGCGGGCTGCCTGGTGCGTGCCGGCAGCACTTGTTGGCAAAGCCGGCCAGGGGAACCTGCGGAGGCGCCCCGGGCTCCGGTAACCCGACTCTGGAAACCGGGCTCCTTGCCGTGCCCTCTGGTTTCTGCCATCTGGGTACCAGGCTCCAGACGCAAGTCTCTGCGTTTGGGGTCTGGCTCAGGGCCCTGCGTCCTAGCTCACTGCGCTGTGCTCTCCGTGTCCTAAGGGTGCGCTTTGGACTCTGCGCCCCTGGTTTCAGGCTTCCAGTGCTGGGCTCTGTGCCCCAGCTCTGGGATCTGCTCCCTTAGCAGTGGGCATCAACATCTCCGCTACTCCCGTATGGTCTCAGCCCTCCCAGACTCACACAGAGGAGAGGGGTCCTCTCCCCATACGACAAGTTCCTGGTGCCCTGGTTGGCGCTCCCAGGCCTTGTTCACTCCCGCTTACCAGATATCAGAGCTTGGGGAAGAGACAGAGGATAGACGCTGGCTCAGAGCATCCTCCAAAGAGCTCTTGCCTGACCTTAAAGTGTCCTGCTACTTCCCTCCAAAAACCCTTCCCCAGGAGACCCACAGTCATTTCCTGAAGCACCGCCAGGCCCCTTCAGCAGTGGGGACTGCAAGATGAGTTAGGCTGATTCCCTGCCTCAGGAGCTCACCCTGCACTGAGGGAGACCCTGCGCATGGTGAGTGCTCAGGTGCAAGAGCCTGCAAGTGCAGTGGGAGCAGAGGGAGGGAGTGACTAAGTTAGGCTTTGTAGAGGTGGCATTGGAGCTGAGTGAGGAGGCGGAGTTTCCCAGGTGGAGAGGTCAACAGGATGGGCAAAAGGTATGGAGATGGCAACTGAGTGAGAGAATGCAGGATCCTTGGGAGAAGAGTTGAAGGGTTGCCAGAGACCCACGGAGGGGCTCAAGTGCCATGTTAAGGAGCCTGGGTCTTATTCAGTGAGGAGTTTTAAAACTAGGTTCCATAAAGCCCCGTGTTTCAGGGGGTCTGCACACATGTGAATCCAATTTATTTTCTTTCTTCTTCGAAGTATGTTTTAAACAATTAAAAATGTGAAATAAAACTCAATTCACTGAAATGTGTTATGTGTACATTTTAGCACCTGAGAAACCACCAACATATTAATTTATGCTGCAGGTTGATGAAAACCTCAGAATAAAGCTTCTTTTGTGATCTGTTTAATAGAAGAATATCTTGAGGTTGCTGACAATTACTGCTGAGTCTCTAGAGGCTTGCAGTTTAAAACAGAACAAAACAAAAAGCCTTTCACCATTTGCAACCACTTACTGGTATGAATCAGGATTTTTTCAATACAGTGCAAAAGCCAACAAGCACAGAAACAAATTGACTAGATGATGAAGCTTAAGTCTGCACTGGCACCCAAACCCCCAGTTTCACATTTGTCATCACCCAAACAACTGTGTTGTTTTCATTGGTTCATGGCATAATAAATACTTTATGTACATGTAATGCATTTGAATTTGCAAAATAAATTTATATCAATAAGATATGATAGTATCTTGTTTACATATTAGGGTCTCACTCGAGTTCATTTCAATAAAAGGTCAGCCTTTTTTCTTTTTAAAGTATGAAAACCGTTATGGAGCTATTGCAGGATTTTTCAGCAAGAGGTTAACTTGGTCCCATTTTCATTTTAGAAAGATCACCCTGGGCAGTGTGGTAGATGGATTGAAGAGGGTGTGTCTGGCAGCAGGCAGACGAGTGTCCTTGTCTGAGGAGGAAGCTGGACTAATGTCATGGCCTGGGGAAGAAAGAGGACGGGGTGGACATTGGGAACCGGGGTGGCGAGTGGGGCTCATCAATCCATGTTCTCCCCAAGCACCAAGGAACCAGGGAGCTCAGGCCCAGTTGTCACTCATGACTTCTCTGTCAGCCCCTGACCCTCGCAGTTCTCTGGGAGGAAAGGAGCCGAGTGGTTTCCTGGCCCCTACTCCTTCCTGCAGTAGTCCCTCCTCCCAGTGGCTATTTTGGGGGCTTTAGGCCTCATGGGCCCCATCATGGCCTGGCCTGGGCTTATTCTCATTCCCAGGAGCCTGAGTGAAATATTAAGCTCCGAAGGCCCATAGAAGACCCTTACCTCATGAGGTCAGAGACCTAGCTACATAGACCTATCTGTCCCACTCTCCTCCGGCAGTCCTGCTCTCTCCAAGTCCTTCTAGAAGTAATAGTTTTTGGCCATGTTCCTGTCTTATCTTAAGCCCAACAAGCAGAATCATATCAGCCTAAATGAGAGCTCCTACATGAGAGCTCCTCAGACAGGCTGGGTGGGGCTGGGCTGTCCTCCATTATCCCCCCTTCACTATCTCCCAAGCCAGAGTAACCAGCCTGCCTTCCCCCCTCCCCCGACCCCAGGGGAAGGCAGAGAGAGCTGGCAGTACCCGGGCTCCCTGGAGGCCAGTGTTCCCAGGCTGAGTCCTTGTTAGGGTAAGGGTCTTTCTGACCCAATTCCCAGTCTGGAATCTGGACTTCTTTCTGATTTCTGGAGGCACTATCCCCAGATGCACCTGACAACACATGATAGGGTGGCCTCCCTCTGCAGCTAGGTCCAGCAAGGACTCTGAAGTGCTCATTTCTCCCCAGCTCTGGCCAGCCCCTTTCACCTGTTCCTTCAGCTCCTCCTGGAGCCCGGACAGGATGCTCATCTCTGCCAGCTGGGATCCTTATTTCCCATAGCCGCTCATATCCTCTAGGCTCTTAGACTCCACCTCACTTGTACAGTGTAAGAGCAGGCTGAGCGGGGAGGCAAGGTCTTGCCCTTGGGACCTCCCTTCTGAGGGGAAAGAGAGCCCTGCCCTTAGAAAAGTCGGTCTGAGGGTACCATGCCCCTCACCATTTCTCCCAAATCCAGAAAGGAAGGGCTGCATGGGGAGAGTGTCCCAGGGAAGTGGCTGAAGTAGCAAGCATTGGGGCCTGCTGGGAGCTACTGAGGATGCGCATATGAGGGGGGCTGCTGTGTGGACTAAGGCTAAGCTAGAGGCCAGAGACTTGGGATCTTATCCTGGCTCTGCCTTGACTTTGCTGTGTGACCTAGAGTAATCTTCTGCCCCTCTCTGGGCCAATTTCCCCATCTGTAAAAGAAGGAAGTAGAGACTCCTGGAGCCAAGGCAGCTGGGGTAGTTTTCTTGCAATGGCCCAAGGTGGGATGAGATGAGGCCTGAGCAAGTCAGCCAGAGTGGACCCAGAACATGGCAGCCTAGCAGGGACTGTGGGACAGAAAGTGAGGCGTGAGACCTTGGCTGGCTGCCTGGGCTGGAGTGACGGGCTTGGGAACCTGCCTGAAGGGGCTTGGAGGACATCCGGCTTTCTGTCCTTGAAGGAATGATGGGCCCGTCCCTGGGGCAGTAAGCCCAGGGGGCGGGGTAAGCTCAGCCCCTGTTCTGAAGGCCAACAGGTTTCCTGGGTTAATGAGAGTGGGCCTCGCTACTCTCCCAACCCCACCATTGGCATTTCTGGCCACCCTTCTATCACCCTTTTTCTTTGGGTCTCTTAACTTTACCTTCTTTCCTTGAAGGCTCACAGGTGCTGAGGGGGGTTGGGAGGTAGCCAGCCCAAGGACACAGACACACAGGCGTGGTCAGCAACGGGGAGAGTCCTTGAGCTAAGCCCCAGAGGAGAGGCACCTGTCCTGCCACTGCCTTGCACTGACCCTGCTGTCCACATACAGCACGTTGGTTGGAGTAAATGTCAAATGCAAACTGAGGTCCACCTCATGAGCTTGGGGAGCTCTTTGGGTTCCATTCCTGCTTTAGGGTTCTAAAGCCTCACTAGCTACTAGCCATTTGTAGCTACTTAAATTTAAATTGATTACAATTAAATACAATTAAAAATTCAGTTTCTCAGTCTCACTAGCCACATTTCAAGTTGCTCCGTAGCCACATGTAGCCATGCAGACATCACTGAACATTTCTATTATCACAGAGACTTCTACTGGATAGCACTCTTCTAACGGATGACACAAATCTCTGCCTTGGGACAGATCATAAGCTCCATGGGGGCAGGGATCACACCTGTCTTGTTTCCTGCCATGTACCCAGCACAGTGCCTGTCACATGGTAATCACACAATGTTGTCAACTGCTTGGAACCCGGCTTGACTCCAGAGGGAAGCAGTGCATGGCCCGCTATCAAGAGCAGGCCAGAATGCGAGGTCCGTTTGTGAGTCTTGCCTCCAACTTGAGCCCCTGTGTCCTCATCTGTAGTGTGGGAACCATGGTCCCAGGACTGCTTAGGTCAGAGATGTAGTGGGACTCTGGGTGTCTGTGAGTCCCTTGGGCACCCACATCTGCCCTCCTCTGGGATTATAAAGGACCCGGCTGCTGTCCGTGATAGCATGCCCTTGTCTTTATTCCACTGGAGGTGGTGAAGGAGTTCTAAGGCCCTCCTGGGGCCCTGAGAGGAGGCCCTCTGCAATCCAGCACCTTCCTGCTCCTCTGGGCTTACCTCTACCCACCCCCACGCCTGCATGCCCTGGGCTCCACTCACCTTTGTGAATGCACTGTGTCTGTGCATCCCTCTTCATGCCTTCCTTCACCCTACTCCTCCTTCAAGGCTCCACTCAAATACCTCCTCTCCCAGGACATCTTGCTCTGAACCCGTTACCAAACTTTGCTTTCACCTGTGTTCTATCACTCATTTCAGTCCCTTTTACATCTCTGTTTACCCATCTTTCTCCCCTGCCAGCCTGTGAACTCTGAAGGCAGCAGCCAAGTCTCTACCAGGACCACCCTCAGGCAGAGCCCAGGTGACTGGCACAAAAATCCAGAAAATATTTGCTAAATTTGCATCAACCAAAAAAATATTTCCTGAGCACCTACTATATATCAACAATCTGAACAGATTAAGGCGCTGCACTGAAGTTTCTAGTTCATGTTAAATTCATCATGGAAAATACTGTTTCTCATTGAAATATATTACTTAAAAGTTTGGAGGCATTAAAAATGTGCTGAGCACCTACTATGTGCTAGGTACAGTTGTAAGCACAAGAGATACAATAAATAAACAAGGTAGTCATAGTTCCTACTCCCTCAGAACTTAAGCATGATTCCTGCTTCCTCTCTAGAAGTCCGTCTAGAAATGGAAATAATTAAATAAGCAATTACAATTTAGTGTTAAATTTTACTAAAAAGGAAATAGGGTATAGGAAAATAGGAAAGGAGAGGTAGCAAACCCATGACTAGGGGTGAGGGAAGACTTCCTAGAGATGACATGTAGCTTGAGACCCAAAAGTTGGGAAGAAGTTCGCTGGATGGAGAGTCAGGGAAAGAACAAGTCGGGCAGGGGGAACATCCTGTGCAAAGGCTCAGAGAAAGAGGGGAAGGTGTGCCTGGACATGCGAAAGGTCAGATTGAGCAAAGTGGGTCAAGGGAAGGTGAGAGTAGAGAGCTAGGTAGGGGTCTGTCGTGAAGAGTTCCCTACTCTATACTCAAGGCTACTGACTGGACTCTTAAAAGAGTGGGCACCACTAAAAGGGAGGGGGACATGATCAGATCTGCACTTGAGAAAAATCCCCTGACAACAATATGGCTGCCAGATTGGAGGAGATGAGAGATGGTGATAGACTGGACTGTGGTAGGGAAGACAGGAAGAAGTGGATGGATTCTAGTGGAGCTGACAGGTTCTGATGATTGGTTGGTGGGGAAAGGAAGTTGAGGAAGTGGGAAGACTTGAGGTTGCCTTCTGGGCTTCTGGATTAGGTGATGAGCGCTTGATGCTGGGCAGTGAGATGAGGGAGCGTGGAGGGGACCAGGTTTAGGGGTGGAGAGAATGGCAGCAATTCAGCCCTGGGCATGTTGAGTTTCAGTGTCTGTTAGTCAACTGCAGCAGTTAGATATATGAGTCTGGAGTTCAGGAGAAAGATCTGGGCTGGAGATAAATTTTCTTATTTAATTGTCATGTGCCTAGGCACCATGTCTTCCTAAGGACATGTAGTTCTCATTTTATAATGGAAACCATCTGAAGACCATCTTGAGCATCAGTCATACTCTGGCTACATACACTGTATTCATTTTCCTGTTTCCAGGCGACTGGCTAGATTGCAAGCTCCCCGAGGGCATGTTTTTCCTGTCCTGCTGTGCTCCTCATCTCCCTCAGTCCCCAGCCGGGTCCTGCTCTGAGAGGGTCCTGACCTAGGTCTGCCCCTGCCCCAGGCTGAGCCTCCCAAGGGCAGAGGCTGGCCTGGGTCTTCTCCCTGCCCCAGTACTCAGAGGGGCCGGCAAGGGAGACTCGCCTCAGGGGAGTGTGAGTGACGGCTCTTCTCCTGCACCTCCGCAGCCCAAGCCTCAGAATGCAGTCACCATTGCTGTGTCCTCCCGAGCCTTGTTCCGCATGGACGAGGAGCAGCGGATCTACACGGAGCAGGGTGTGGAGGAGTACGTGCGGTACCAGCTAGAACATGAGAACGAACCCTTTAGCCCGGGGCCTGCCTTCCCCTTCGTGAAGGTGAGGGGCAGTCTCACCTCTAGCCGTACAATGCTTTTGTGGGGGTTAGACAAAAGCCCTTTCATGGGTGTTGGAGTAAGGAAAAGGAATCCTCTGGGCTGATGCCACCCAGCAGGAGCAGGGCTTGTCTAGGGGACAGAGCCATTGTGGGAAGAAGTCCATCCTCTGGACTAATGCAGCCCCATGCCAGGTAACCAGCTTGGTGAGTGGATCATGGGCTGGATTCTGGCCTCCACGCACTCTTTCAGTGAGGCAGACCCGAGCAATAATCAACCTGCACAATGGCAGAGATTAGGAGGGGCAGTCCAAGCCCACTGATCGCCCCAAGCCTGGCCCCTGATCTCCCCTCTCCTCCGCCACTGGATCCCACCTCACCAGTCTTCCCCAACCCTGGCTACCAACTCTAATTATAAATCTCTGGGGGTCTGAGTTGGAAGGCCCCCTTTCCCATGCAGGCTCTGGAGTCTGTGAACAAGCAGCTGCGGGAGCTATACCCTGACAGTGAAGACATCTTCGACATCGTCCTTGTCACCAACAACCACGCTCAAGTGGGTGTCCGTCTCATCAACAGCATCAACCACTATGGTGAGCATGAGAGCTTTGGCCATGGGACACCCCTCCCAGACACCCGGGGACAGGGCCACACCCCTGCAGGGTAAGGGAATACCGACTGGAGCCCCAAACCCAGTGCTGTGCTGGTAAACTGGCTCTTTAAAAAAAACAAACAAACAGGCCTTTTGAGCTCCTTTTGCTCGGCCCGCTCCAACTCTTTGGAGTGTATTTTCTCTTCTAATAATGGCCCTTGAGCCATTCTCTATTGCTTGGGCCCGCTTCTGCTTCTTTGAAATATACTTTTTCTTCTAATAAAATGTTCTTTTCTGCAACTTTAAAAAACAAACAAACAAAAACCCCAACAACAAAAAACCCTGAATGTAGCATTGCTGTTTTCAGGGTATAAACATTCTCACCGTGGCTGGTTTCAAGCTACCAACAGTTGAACTATCTAATTGGCCCTGAAAAATCCCTGAATGTTTAACATTCGGCTCTTGCAAGCTGGTACAAGCCAGCTCCAGCATACCACTGCACAGGCCCCACTCCCTATGTGATCGGGCAGGGCATTTGCTGCCTCTGTGCCTCAGTTTCTCTGTTTGCAATAGGGCTAACAGGCCCACAGGGCTGCTGGGAGAAGCAGGTGCAGTTGTCAGCATAAAGGGGCTTTGTGGCTTAATTCAACATCTTGATGGGAAGTAATAGACCCTCCACAGCAAGTTGAGTAGAATAATCTCTTATTACCATATTTCCCCATGTATAAGACACACCTTAACTTTGGGGCCTGAAATTTGAAAAAAAAAATGTATTACATAAAGTTATTGAACTCAAGTTTTATTCATCATAAAATTCATACAACTCCTCATCACTGTTAAAACTCCCAACTATAGCCAGTCTCGGGTTGTTTTCTCAGCTGGAGGAGGACCAAACTTATGTTCAGCAGCATGATTTCCATTCACTTTTGCAAACTGGATCACCTTTAACTTGAATTCAGCACTGTACGAAAATCTTTTCTGAGCCATTTCTGGGCAGAACGTGGCAAGATGTAACCTAATATACCAGTAACAAGTGCGAAACAATGAGCGCAAAGACAACAAGTGCGAAAAAGCGGAAAATGCAAATTAAAAAAATCTACAACCGCTGTATAAGATGCACTCAGTATTTAGACCCCAAATTTTTCGAAAAAGGGTGCGTCTTACACATGGAGAAATACGGTAGGTTACAGGGGTGCCTCTTAGAACCACAGGACAGGAAGTAAAATTGGGCCTACGAAGGCCTGAATCCAAGTACCATTTTTGGATTCTTGGAATCCAAGAATCCAGCCTCTCCTGGGCTCTTTTCTCTCTGGGCCACATGAGCCCTTATTTCTGCTTCTCTCAGCACATCTGTTCCTTTTCTCCTTCTCCTCCTTCTGTTTTTTTTCCCCCTGTCTCTTTCTCGCCTCAAACTAGGTTTTTCTGCTTTTCCTAAACATGGTCAAAATTTATAAGTTTACAAGTATTTGTTTTAAGCAACCAAGAGAGTCCAGTTGGCATTTTTAAATCTGATTTTAAATTGCTGGGAGCAGGGGTGATAGTCAAAATATTTAACCACCTGTGCTGTAGACATGGAGCAATCGGACAGACAGCACCTATCATACTGGAGCAGGTCCTGAAGGACCCCTGCTGTGCCAGACATTGGGTTGCCCTGCATGAGGGGCTGGGTAAAGATGGGCTAACTCAACAGGCTCAGAGCAGCAGCCGTTTACCAACCAGCAAGTATTTCACAACCTGTGCCAACATGGGTACTAGGTGACAATCAGCCCAGGCTGGGAGAGCATCTAATTGGTCCATCTTGGGTCAAGTGTCTGCTGCTATCCAATCAGCTCTGTCCAAGAGGTGATTGGAAAAGGAGGGAACCACCTTTTGCAGTACCGTAATTCCCTGACAAGAGGATGTTACTGTGAGCCAGGCAACTGCTCCAGAGATATGATCATCCCCATTTCATGGATGATGGATGGAGGGGCTTAGAGAGGGGGAACCCTGGCCTAAAGTCACTCAGAGAATCACTCTGCTACGCCACCACCACTTAGAACCAAGATGGCATCCATTGGATACAGGGGGACCACTCTGAGGCCCTGAGGGTTGACCCAGGCCTCACCTGCGTATTCTCTACCTCCTCTCCAGACCTGTTCATCGAGAGGTTCTGCATGACAGGTGGGAATAGCCCCATCTGCTACCTCAAGGCCTATCACACTAACCTCTACTTGTCAGCTGATGCGGAAAAAGTTCGGGAAGCCATTGATGAAGGTGAGTCAGCCTGGGGAGGGAGAATGTGGGGTGGGGAGTCTGGCAAAGAGGTCCTAGAGGTGGGAGGCCTGGTCCTGAAGCTCTGAGCAGGGGCTAGGCATTGCCATGGTAACTGGAAGGGGAGTACCTTCCTTAATTCCTGTGACCTGTCCTGTAAACTCTGAGAACAAGGCCCCACCTAGTCCACTTACTGCCCATCTATTCCACTCTCCCACCCCCTGTCCTACCATGAGTAAGGATGCTTTTATTCATCAGCATCACCCAGCCTTCTGTTTCCATGGAAACCATCCTTCTAGCCCAGAAAGCTACTCCCTTCTAGGAATCCTCCAGGTCTGTAGGAGTTCTGAACACGGGCAGCCTCTGCCCCTCTCTGGGCCAGTGGGGCGGGAGATCAGTATCTCGTCCAGCCTGAGCAGGGAGCGGGGTCTGGGAAACGGCCAGCACTCCAGCAGCGGGCGGGCCAGTGCTGAGGGGAGGTTAGGAGACCCAGCTGCAAGCACTGACGAGGAGAATTTTCCTCCATGTGTCTCTTTCAAGGGACAGTTTTGAGTGATAGCCATAGCCCTGGTCTTCCAACAGGGTATATATTCCTTTTGCGCATGGAAGAAAACAGGCCGACAGGGGAGGAAAGATGGCCCCCTGCCTCAGAGGGCTCCTCAGACTGAGTGCTACTGGCACGTTTCTTTATCAACCAACAATATATTCACCTTTCTCTTCCTCCTTCATGCTGTCTCCTGCCTCGAAGCCTGGCCTCTCTTGCCGCTGATACCTCACTCCTCTCAGTTGCTTGGGGCTCCAAGAAGCCTTTCTTTAACCAGGAACCAGAAGCCATTTCCCTACACAGATGTCACACCCTCTGGTTGGGGCCTTGACACTGGCCTGCGTGTGCCTCTATATGTCTGCAATTTGAGCTCAGGCTAGAGATCAGGGGGTTGGTCAGGAGGGAGGCTCTGCCCGGGGCAGGGATGGTTCTGGCTCATCTTGGCTCCAGCATTGGCAGAGCTGAGAAGGTGCCTGGCCTGATGCCCAGAGCCTGGTCCTACTTATAGCACCCTCAGGCTAGCGAAATTGCTGTGGGGTTGGCACTGCTTACTCCTCCCAAAACTCTGCCTAAGCCTGGCCCCTGTGATCCCAGATTCTCAAAGAGTAGGGCTGGAGTGGCCTATGGAGAGATGAAGAATAGGGAATGGACTAAGCCAGCTGCCCAGGTCTCCAGCCTCCTAACACCGGCTCTCCGTTGTCCAGAGTACCTCTAGCCTGGAGCCTGGATTCCCAACAAGTATCCTTGACCCACGGAGAAGCCCAGGGTTGCAGAGACTCTGTGTACACAGTCAGATGTCATTAGTGCTACCTCCCATGGCCACCCACATTGCCTCAAGGAGCCCTGAACGCCAGGCTGCCCTGAGTAGGACACACCTGGGTGTTGTTGTGGCAACAGACTGAGGGTGCCTGCACCCACTCCACCTCAAACTGCAGCCTGGGAGCTCAGCCCCAGAAAGAGCTGAAATACCCTTAACGTTACGCCGACTCAGAGCAGGTGGGGGGGCTTGTCGGAATCAACAGCAAGAAAGTGAAACCAAGCTGGGGTTGGGGCTCCTTCCCGGGCCCACCTTAGATCGGTGGCCTGGGGGACACTTCCTTCCAGACAGGATTGACAATCCGCAGGTCCATACCAGCATAACCTTACTAGATATTAAAGTGTTGACATTCTTCCATACTGATTGATAAATAGTTCCTGTCCTGAGTCTTCTAAGTGCCTCTCTGTTCCCTGAGACCCCCACAAAGCTCCCCACAAAGCAACAACTAAAGGGAAACTCTGGCTTAGGCTAGAGCCCTCAGAGCCCAGTTCTTATTGGACAGTTTTTAAATATTCTGAATATTAGCCTTCGTTAGCCATGCCCCAAGTACTGGGTGAGGTAGGTGGGGCAAAGATAGCTTGAAATAGCCCTCTCCTGGCTCCAGGCAACTGAGGCGGGTGTCATGGGGCCCCTATTGTCAGAATAAAGACAGACAGTGCTTGCCTCTCTCTGCCCAGGGATCGCAGCCGCCACCGTCTTCAGCCCCAGCAGGGACGTGGCCGTATCCCAGAGTCAGCTCCGTGTGGCTTTCGATGGGGACGCCGTGCTTTTCTCAGACGAGTCAGAGCGCATCGTCAAGGCCCATGGGCTGGACAGATTCTTCGAGCATGAGAAGGCCCATGAGAACAAACCCTTGGCCCAGGTGCTCCGCATACTCCCCAGAACCCCTGAGTGGAGCAAGGTGGCTCCCCAGAACCTGCCCTTGATAAGAACCTCCAGCCTAGAACCAAACCCTGAGCTTGGCCCAGAATCCAGCCAGGTCCCTTCACCAAACCTCCAGCCCTCACCCCTCTCACGTGACGCTTGGCTCCCCTCGGTGGGCTTCTACCCCTTCATTGAGCCCCTATCCCCCTCTCTACAGCCCCATACTCCCTTTGAAGCCCCCGTCTTCTCTCTAAGCTCCTCTCTGAAGCCACTACCTCTCCTTTGCAACTCCTTTCTGAGGTCTCCATTCCCTCCCAGAAGCCTCCATCCTCTCTCTAAGCTCCCATCCCTCTCAGAAGCTCCCCAGCTCCCTTTCTGAGGTCTCCATCCCTTCTCTAACATCCCCACCCCACTCTGAAGGCCTCACCCTCTCTCTGAAGCCACTATCCTCTCTCTGGAACCTTCATTCCCTCTCTGAGATTCCCTCACTCCTCTGAGTAGGTTTCCCTCTCCTCAAGAAACCCCGTGTCCCCCACTGGAGGAAAGGAAAAACTGGACCTGTGCCCCCCAGTGGGGCAGCAAGATCCAGCTGGGTGTGGGGTCTGGAGCAGCCCCTCTGCTTTGGGCCACACCAGTCCTTCCCACCTCCTGCCATCCGTCCCTTCTCCAGGGGGCCCAGGGACCCTTACTCATCGTCAAACAGCTGGAAGCCTGCTCTGCTAAGAGCAGAATATGCCCTAGAGCCTAGGGGATAGTCCCTGGGGTTGGAGCTGGTGGGATGCCCCAGCCCTCCTGGGAGCTCCTATTTGTGCTTTAACAAAAAACCTGGGTGCTCACTCATCTCAGCGCCACTTTCCAAGAACTCAGCAGGGTCCGGCTGTGGCCTCCGAATATTCATTTTACTTCCATTCTTGTTAATTCCCTCTGAAATCCTTGGGAATCAGGGCAGGACAGTTTTCCCACTAAGTGGTAGGCAGAGCCCAGGAGACCACTGCTTGCTTCATCACACAGCAGGTGAGGGCTCTCCAAGACTGGAAGCCCACCTTTCCTGATTTCCAGCTGATGTAGCGGTTTTCTTCTTCTTCATCGTCTGGTTCTTGTGTCCTTACTAACCTTCATTGCTCTGGGCACTATTGAGTAAATCTTTTCCCTGACCCTAGCGAGCTGAAGCATGACACCCTGAGCCAGTCACACATTGATCTGTTTGTCCCAGTTGTTTGCAGCGGGAATCCCTTCTTCCTGGAAGTTGCCCATGCCATAGTTACTAAATAGTTTTAATATCGTCCCTGCTGTGACACAGAAGGCCTCACTTACAGAGTTGCGGGACAGACACCCATGTACGTGGGGGACAAATGGATGGACATACATAGTAACAGCTACCCTGGTACCATTCTGACGCAGACATCCCCAATCCCAGCAGTACGGACACCCAGGCTGACATAGGTACGTACAGTCCCACTAATGCACGTAGTGGCCTGAGCAGGCATAACAGAGCTGAGAGATTTGGGGATCCTGAGACGCCTTTCTACCCCAAACAGCAAGACACTAGTGCTTTAGGAAGGAGCCCAGCTGGAGAAGGGGCAAACGTTTGGGAGAGGATGAGCTCACAGTGTTCCCTTGCCTTCTCACAGGGACCCTTGAAGGGCTTTCTGGAGGCACTAGGCAGGCTGCAGAAGAAGTTCTACTCCAAGGGCCTGCGGCTGGAGTGCCCAATCCGCACCTACTTGGTGACAGCGCGCAGTGCAGCCAGCTCTGGGGCCCGGGCTCTCAAGACACTGCGCAGCTGGGGCCTGGAGACAGATGAGGCCTTGTTTCTTGCGGGAGCACCCAAGGGCCCTCTTCTCGAGAAGATCCGCCCACATATCTTCTTTGATGACCAGATGTTCCATGTGGCTGGGGCTCAGGAGATGGGCACAGTGGCCGCCCATGTGCCGTACGGCGTGGCACAGACCCCCCGGCGGACTGTACCTATGAAGCAGGCCCCAGCTGCACAGTAATGGAGCCACCAGCTTCGCGGACCCACAGTGCTCCAGGCACAGCCCCCTGTCATACTTTGACACGTCATCCAGTGGACCCTTCTCGTTCCTCACCACTCTGCCCTGCTGCATGTCTGCCCTCATCTCTATGAGCGAGGTGCTCGTAGGCAATTATGCAGACTGGGCCAGCCTACTCATCAGCCCTCCTTCTGGGCCAACACTGTGCCATGATCCTGGCTAGGAAAGTAAGACTGTGCAGAATGGCTGGATTGCAGGGGGGAAGTTGATGGGACTGCAGGTGGGAGGGTCAGAGGAGCCAGGATGTCTCATAGGGGGTTTGGGGTGAAAACGAGCTGAGTATAGTGCAAAGAACGCTGCTTTGAGAGAGAAGGGACCTCATCTCTAAGCTCTGGCTTGGCGTTAACTGCATGATTTTGAGTAAGTCCCTCCCCTTCACAGGCCTCAGTTTCATCTTTTAGGTGGTTTTCAAACTCTCCTTTAGCTAAAGAGGTTTGTTTTTTTAAGACTGCCCTCTTTGAAGGAAGCGTGCTATGCCAGAGCTGCTGGTCTATACGGCACCTTTGTGCAGACTACAGAAGGACACTGTCTCTAGAATGAATTATGAAAAGAAGGCCTTTCCTCGGGGCTGATCCAGACCACGCTGGGGTACACAGCTTGCTTAGCAGGATGTAAGTGGAATTGCAGCCCCTACCGACTCCTCAGTCCACAGAGGCCTTTGTCAAATGGGCAAAAGGCACAGTTGTCCACAGCATCCCTACCTACAATTTTACAAGTTTGGAAACCACTGGACAAGATGACCCATCTGCTTCCTGTGATCCTCTAATCTGAGTCACCAAGGGTCAGCTGCGAATGGGGGTGGTCTATAAAAGGAATGAGGGAGTTCATTTAACCCAAACGCAAACTCCTGGTCCAGCCAGCAGGGGGCACTGAAGGCCCTTCCTGGGAAGGAGCTTCAGGGGCAGCCTGCTCAGAGCTCCCTTTGCTTTTGCTTTTAGCCAAATTTCAGTTGTTCCTGCCTGCCAACCCCCTTACCCCAACCTTCACTTCCTCAATTATTGTATCCTGCTGTGTCACCAAGCAAGCAGCTCTGCCAGTGGGGAAAGGCGGAGTATCAGGGTTTACTGTTGTTGGCCCACGGAATAAAGCTCAGCGACTGCAGTGGCAGTTGTCCACGCTGAGCCCGAGAGAAGGCCTGCCTGGGATGACATGGGAAGTGTGAAGACGAGGAGGTCTGGTCTGAGGCAGTGACCACTTAGAGAAGAAGGAGCTGAAATGTGCACTCGAAGATCCTCCCGGTATGGGATCGAGAGTGGAGGTAGCGAGTTCTCCATCACCGAGCTGCTGTGCAAGGGACGCCCTCTGAGATAGACCTGTGAACCCTCCACCCTTTCAGGAACCCCTGCAGCCCCTTCGTCTCCACTTCCAGGGTAGAACTCTCACTGCTTGAGGAGTCAGCTTCCTCCTTCGCTGACCAGCCTGGCTCTCTCTCAAGGGATGGTGGGGCACGGATGGCTGGTCCCTCAGGAAGACCCAGAGGGCTGAGCAGACATCTGTATGGGGGGCTCGGCTCCAGGGGAGCATCCTACCTGTGAGCAAGTAACTTGTGAAGACAGCCATAGGTGTCATCAGAAGGGACAGGAGCTTGGAGGTGTGTGCAGGAGAGCTAGAACGCTTGCGAGGTCAGGCAAAAGGGACGAAGCGCCATCCAGGGCCTGATCTTTGTCCTTTTGAGGACTCAGCCCAGGGTATGAATGGGCACAGGTGCTGCGCAGTGTAGGACAGGGCCGTAATTGCAGAAAGATCATGCAGAAAGTGTCCTACACTGCAATTACGTAATTGCAGAAAGGAGGGAGAAAAAGTGAGAAAACAGAGGTGGTTCTGGAAATGAGCAATAGTTGAGACCAGAATTGAAGTGCTGGGCTGGGCTTTCTTTCACTATCCATATTGGAGGCCACCTAGAGGCTGGTCCTTGGGAGGAAGGGCAAGGCTGTGCTGAGTGCCCGGGGCAGACGCCCAGCACTGACTGCCTTATCAGAAAAAGAGCGGGTGATGAAGATATGTTTGTACAAGGTTATTTCCATCCACAGCCAGGATCTTTCAGGACCACAGAGGACGCCTCAGGGCAGAGGGCCTGGTTTTGAGCTCCAAGCCCAGCCAGAGAAACTGTGAGATCTAAGAACAGCCTCCAGGAAAGGAAAGGAAGTGAGAAAGTGAGCTCAACCCAAGTCACCTTTTATCTTGGCTGAACCACAGAAATGCCTTTTGTCTCCCATCCCCCCAACTCAGAATCATCCCCTTGGATGAGCCTGCAGGGCTCTCAGAGCCAGCTGGTGGCCCACAGACTGGCATTAGGCTGCGTGACCAGGGTGGACACGTGCATTGTGAAGGCAACACCAGATGTCGCCTAATTAAGATAAACCCCAGGGATTCTGGGAACCAAGAGGTCCTGTTCCCAGGGCCTGGTGATAAACACCACTGATTCTTCCAGGTCTGTCAGGAAGCAGGAAAATAGGATGCTGGCAGCATAAAGATAAGGTGCAGTTAAAGCCTGGGTTTCACTGGAGCCACTGTTAATAGACATAGACAGCTCTGGGCAATGAGAGACAGTAGGGTCCAAATTCTATTATTGAAACCATAAATGAGCATCTCAGGCCTGGAAAAAAAAGCTTTCAGAGGCTGAAATAAAAGGCCAGAAGTCCTGCGGGCATGCTTAGGCAGCAACCAGACACACCTGATTGTTTCAAGGAGTGGGAAGGAGTTTTCACCAGGCAAATTAAAAAGCCAGGTGAGCATCAAAGCCCCAGGCCCAACTTGTTCTGCAGCACTGGGGCAGAGGGACCATAGCTCTTGACATGCTGGACCCCCGTAGCCAAAAGTATTGCACCCCAACAAGTCCTGCTGAACACGTCCCAGAAAATGCTTGCCAAGAAAGTCCCCGATCCAATGGAAACTTCCACTTACCAGAAAAGCAGAAGTCCTGTTATTATGCACTGAGACTGCTAAGATCATTGCAAAATAGCCCTCTCCCCTCCCTGAGAGTCCAACCAGAATGGTGGGGATGCAGCGAAAAATGCCAGAAGAAACCAAAACCAGCAAGAAGTTCAAATCCAAGATGGATCCGTCATTATAATGATCTTCAACTGGTATGCACCGGTACAGCCAAACTGGTGCTTAAAATATTGAAATATCTCCATAGCAATTGGCAAATAGCTCTGGCCTGAGTCCCTCAGTGCCCCTCAATGACCTCGGTTGCCCTGGCCCCTCTGCTGTGACTGCTGCATCTCCCCACAATCCAGTAAAAGGGTCTTCTAGGAGGCTGCACCAGCATGATGGCCAGTGTCCCCTGTTAGGTGGTGCCCGTGCTGGCTTAGAGAGCTAAAGCAACTTGACCAGTCACATAGCTAGTAAGTGGCAGCACGGGGACTCAAGCGCACGTCTGGCTTTTGCTGGGACCCAGGCTCTTAACCGTTTTTCCATATGGCCCATACATGTGCATAGAGGTGGCAATAGAGGCTTCGTAACAAAGGAGTTCACCTCCCTGCATGTTAAAATGCTATAATACATTTGACTGAGTACATTTTTGTTATAGCTTCCTAAATAGCTAAGAAGAATTCAAATTAGAGCCAAACATTTGCAGAGCCAATGAAGAACCTCAGACACCCCCAAGTTCTATGGAACCCAGTTGGAAGGCCCTGAATTGGGCTAATGCAGGGTTGGCAAACTATGGTTCGTGGGGCCAAATTGAAACTTTGATTGGAACACAGCCATGCCCATTTGTTGATGTATGTCTACAGCTGCTTTCACACCACCACAGCAGAGGTGAATTGTTTTAACAGAGATTGTGGCGTTGAAAATACAGAGGGTGCCAGAAACATGTATACACATTTTAAGAAAGGAAAAAACTGTAATAAATTTGTAATACTCAATGTATACCGGTAACAAAAGATGAATACAAGTCATGTGTATACATTTTTTTGGCACCCCAGTATGTATCTGGCCCTTTATAAAAAAAGTTTGCTGACCGCTGGGCAAAGGCAAACATCCCAGGCCCGCTCTTCAGTGGGAGAGACCAGCTTACATCCACCTCAGCACTCAGGATGGTTCCACTGCAGCGGGTGGGGGTGGGGGGAGGGGCAGCACAAGGGGGCTGTGTGCCCATTTGTGGGCACTGTTGGAGCTACAGGGTCTCACAAGTACTAGCTAAGTACCTTGATGTTAAACATAGCAGACTCTTATCATCTGAGGATTGAAGATTTCAAGTTTTGACTACTTTCAGTGACCTAGGGCCTGTTGTAACTTGAAATGTGATCGATGTACAGATTTGATTGGAGAGTGCCATGCCTGCTCCCTCTCGCAAGCTGATGGCTGAGGGGCAGGGAGCAGGACCCCTGCCCAGGGCTAAGCCCAGCTGGCTGTGCAGCATCTGCTCAGGGTGGTTTTGTGGTTCTTGATTTGTCATTGCCCTCGTAGGGCCTTCTGGGAAGTGATAAGCGCCAGTAGATGGATGGGCCTTAGCTAAATATGAGTTTTGGAAAAACTGAAGGTGCCCAGTGTTGGCTTCAGGGCTTAGATCTAACAAGCGATCCATATGCTATCTGTGGAAGCAAGAACAAGCTCTTCACAAAGATGGGCCCAGCGAGGGCTTTCGTTGGCTCAGAAGGTACTGATCAAGTGAGAGAGAAACTACAGTGAAAGTTGGAATGGCAGTTTTCTTGTGCTGGGAGGGTGTGAGTAAGAAACACATACCTTCACAGTGGAATTGCGGAGCAGGAGAAACCTGCAGATTTAGGATCCGCTGCAAGAAAGGCAAGTGTGGAAGCCATCCTACCTACAGCCATGGTTGCTGTCACTATTCTGTCATGATACTCTTCTCCTCTAAGCTCAGACTTGGCCTCGGAACCTTCTACCAGTGGGTTGGAGCTGGCGTGAAAGATGAAAGCCTCTTTTGCCATCATCCCCTTTGGTGTCAGATATTGCTTTCCAGGGGGCCTGCAAGGCCCTGAAAGTTCATTTTCTGATGCTGTGGTGCAACTCTAAGGATGCCAGGGTCTCACCCCACTCAGGCAGAACACAAAGAGGAGGGAGAATGGCAGCCTGTGGTTGGTGGCTTCCTTAGAAAGGGTACCTGAGAAGCAATGTCCCCGGTTTCAGCATCCTCCAGCCAAGTGCAAACACCCCTCCTGCCCTTAGGTGGCATTGCAGGCCATCACTCAGCTGCTCCTTGTATTCGTAGTTAGTGGTTTTATTCACTGGTTACTTTTCTCTCCTTCCATGGTACTTGGTGCTGTGCTGAGTGGACTCCAGCAGGTAGCTCAGCCAAAAAGTACTTTAGGTGCTCTGAAAATGCTTGCTAAATGTACCTGTGTGATGAGCTGATTGCTCTTACCACTGTGATTATATGTATGGATACACTCATAAGTGTGAGCAACAGGATAAAAACTGCATGTATGTGTGTTTAAGGTGGGTGTGTGTAATGGGTCAGATATCTCTGCTGACAACTCTGTGTGTGTGTGTGTGTGTGTGTGTGTGTGTGTGTGTGTGTGTGTGTGTGTAC